TATTGTGTGCTATCATCTCCAAGGATAGTAACTGTGAATGGGACCTGAACACAAAGATTTCTTTCTCGTCGCTCTCATTCAAGAGCCTTACAAACCTTTGAACTCAAAAAGTAATAGCAGTCATCTCAAAGTCCAGTTTTATTGCGCTGTTGTCAGACTAGTTCTGATCTTTTGACCAAAACCCGTTGTTTTCAGCACGAACACATGAACTTCAACTAGACGGCTTACAACAACGCTAGTAGTGCCGCATACTGAAAACCAAGTAGTTAGAACACATAAAAGAAATAGAGTTTTGACACTAGCCGGCTTTACCGGCGTATCGGAGTTTCTGAGAGACAGACGGCTGGAGTGGTAGGATCCTAACTGCCTCGTCAGCTGCTTAAATGAGGACCCAAACACTTACGGTGAAAGACGGGTGGTCAGCACGTCACAATGTAAAGGAAACCTAGCGAAAGTTTATCGATTCAGTTAACAGCTGGTGAAAATGAAAATGTGATAGCTGGAGATAAGCAAATATCACAGTTGTTAAGCAGCCTGCAGATTTGCAAGGATTCTAAAGTTGATGATGCCAAGCAACAGTAGTAGCAACAGTATTCAAAATATCATATCTCTTATAATCTAAGCAAATTTTCGTCGATTGTGTAACCTAGCCTATAGTTTTCCCCAGTCACTTCCGGAGAAGACTACCAGAAGAATCAGTGGTTAAATCATAGACAGAAAATATTTTACCTTCGGTGCAGGTCTCTTTTGAAGCGCTTAATAACCTTGATTCTGACTTCCGTTTCGTTATATGTATGTGTATTCATCATTTACTCTAAGAAATTGTTTAGCTGGAAAAACCACGGGAACCAGCCTTTGGTGTGGAGCAAGCATCGGAAGACAGAAATTCAGTCGGGCAAAGCATAAACGCTGTGTTCACCGATATAAAGGTTTCGACGGAACAGCGGATTCAGCGATATTGACGTTATTCATCGGCTGAGTTTAGGAAAAGCTGGCTCCCGCTGCGGAAGTTATCGACTCCCAAGTGAAGGCAGCATCGCACGCGGTCGGCGACTTTTTCAAGAAGGAAACGACCGGCAAGCCAGCTGCACCCGAGGAACTCCGACAGTCGAAAAAAGAGGATTCTGAGGCGTTTCATGCTGAACAGCCTCTTATGGAGTTCGGTGACTTTCTTGAACGCAAGATGGTGCATCCGCTGGAAACCGGCATCAAGGAAGTGGAAGACAACCTGCTATCAAAGAAGTCGGTGCCTGAGAAGGAGGTAATTTTTT